GGCGAGCGGCCGGGCCAAGCGCTTCGTGTCCGAGGCGCGCTTCGTGGAGACGCTGCTGGTGGCGGACGCGTCCATGGTCAAGTTCTACGGGGAAGAGCTGAAGGTAAGAAGATGCTTCTATACATAGACACAACCACGACTGGACACACGGACACACACTCACAGAGACACACCTGGACACACACACGCGTGGACACGCACACACACGCGGGCACACCTGGACACACACACATACGTGGACACGCACACACACGCGGACACACCTGGACGTCCATGGTCAAGTTCTACGGGGAAGAGCTGAAGGTAAGAAGATGCTTCTATACATAGACACAACCACGACTGGACACACGGACACACACTCACAGAGACACACCTGGACACACACACGCGTGGACACGCACACACACGCGGGCACACCTGGACACACACACATACGTGGACACGCACACACACGCGGACACACCTGGACGCACTCACAGAGACACACGTAGACACGCACACACGCGCGGACACACCTGGACACACACTCACAGAGACACACCTGGACACACACACGCGTGGACACACACACACACGCGGACACACCTGGACACGCACTCACGGAGACACACCTGGACATGCGCGCGCACACACACACGCCTTCTCCTTCACACACACCCCGGCAGGTCCCCTCCATGGATGCGTTCGGTGCCTGGCTCAGTGCCAGCCCCCCCTAGTGGGGACGTGAGGGGCAGGATCTGGCCCCAGGTGATGTACATCTCCGCAGGTCCCCGGGGCCCCATCAGAGGCGCAGGTGGGCAGCAGCCAGGCTCCGGGGTTGCTCTGATTTCTGCCTCCCCAGGGACCCGGCCTAGGGGAGAGAGCGCTGGGTGGGGGAGGGTTACCAAGCTGGGAGTGAGCCAAGGAAAGTGCAGGGAAGGGGAAGGGAACCGCTAGGGCTGGAGGGCTCGGTCCTGTCTGTCCCACACTTGGCCCCACTGAGGAGAGAGACGGGGCTCAGGAGGGAACCTGCCGGTTGCCCCGGGGTGGCGTTGTTAGGGCTCTGCTGCGCCGCCCACTCCATGCCCTCGATGGGTGGCAGGTGGGGAGGGAGAGCCCTGAAGTCCCCCTTTGGGGACCGCAGGCGGGTCTCTCAAGCGGGCGCATGGAGCCCTGTGATAGGAGACGTACTGGGCTGCCACAGGAAGCGGCGTACACCCGCGCACCTCTCCATCGCCCCTTTGCTCGTAGCAGGGACCGATTTCTGAGAGACACTGTCGCACGCTCCCTCTCCTCCCGGACAGGTGTATCCTCCTCTTAATTTCACTGGGCTCTTGGCAGAAGGCGAGTTACCCCACGTTCCTAAAGGGCTTCCAGATGCGTCGTAGGGCTGAAGGGTGAGCGTGTGGCAGGCAGACCAGGAAAGAGGGGACTCTTGAAGGTTAACATGGGAGCGGCCAGACCAAAGGTCCATCTAGCGCAGTGTCCTGTCTGCCCATGGTCAGGTGTCCCAGAGGGAATCTTCCAGGCAGGGCTAGACTGAGACGTGCTGAGGGCCCATCGCATACCAAATAATGTGGATTGTTCTAACAGAAAGAACAATGAACACAGAAATAATAACGTTTTATATTTGCATGTCTACCTGTACACAGGTGAGGGGGCGATGAAAAATGAGTATTTTTAAATGAGAGGGCCCCTCATAACCAGAGGCCCTACCCTGTAGCTTACTTAGCTTGTACACAAACCTGGCACTGGGAGTGATCCATCCCTGTCACCCATGCCCAGCCCTGGCTGTGCCCAACTGATTGACAGTATCAACAAGGTGAGCTTTCAGACCCGTAATGAGCATGGTCCTTTCTAAGCCTGGTCAATTGCACAGCCCTCGCGGATGTCCGGCTGCATCTGAAGTGTGACACATTTTCAAACTCCGCTATTGCCCAGCAATGTTTGTGCCTTCGCGCCCCCCGCCCTCCGCTTCCCACCCCCACGACAGTAGGGCGGTTTGGGGTGTTTTAACCTGACTGGATGACTAGATAGGAAAACACTTTCCAAGATCGCTGAAGGGGGGCTGAGGAAGCTTTCAGAAAGCTGGCTGCGCTCCAGCCGACCAATGGTGCAGTTTCAGCCTGAAAGGAAAACTTTTGAAACTGTTCCAGGCCGTTGAGTAGATCAGCTCGCAATGGATTGGCCCCAGCCTCAGCTGTTCGGCGAGCACTGTCACTAGCTGCGGCTCGTTCCTTCCCTTTCATCCTTCCTTCATCCAGCCGCTATAAAGGCGTCAAATGACTCTGATGCAGGGATGGGAGGAGGCCTCGGGTAGGGGTCCCCACGCCCACTGTGCAGGGTCTGAGAGCCTGTCGCTGCAGAGCTAGCCGGGGAAGTAAGGAGCGCTGAGGGGAGGGAGGTGGAGGAAGTGTGTCTGGCAATGGGGTGATCGCGGCCCAGGCTTGCCTCTCACCCAGGAGAAAGTGCTGCGTTTTCACCTGGTTCCGAGGACAGGGTTTGGGGAGGGGGAGGGGAAGAAGGGGGCAATGTCTCAGTCGCTTGGATCTCACTGAACACCCCCTGGGGCTGGAGCCCGGCAAGTAATGCGAGGCACAGCGGCACAGTGCACCGGCCTGCCTGGGTTAGCCCCCTGCTCGCCCTTAGCACAGCCCTCACGTAGGCACCTGTGCCACACGGCAAAGCGACTCTTCCCCAGCTCCTGCCCGGCGAGACGCGCTCTCTTCTACGGCAGAAGTGTCCTTGGGCCGGTACGAGCCCAGGTCCCAGGTGCCTGCAGCACCAAACCAATAGCACCGATCTACTCCCTCCCGCGCGAGCGCGGCCGCCCGCAC